TATATCGCCTACGGCGATATATCGGAGAAAATATCGTTATATCGGCTGCGCAGCAGCCGATGTAAAATATATCGTTTTTTCGTACCGATTCACAACTCTAGATATCGATATATATCGGACGATATATATCGTGTACATCGTTCCGATTCACAACTCTAAAAATATTCCACTTCTTTCATGACTTCCATCATGCATGATTGGCCTGTGACCGCGGAAGGCGTCGGCGTCAGTTGCCCTGGTTCGGATGTCAGAGGGTACGGTATGGAAAACTTCCTGGGCAGAGACCGGAACAGTTTGAGCAGAGACCGGAACGTTATACGCGCACTCCCCAACCCACCCCCTTCAGGGCCAAATGCGTGGTGTACATCTCTTCTTGTGATTGGTTGTAATGCCCGTGGAAGTAAAGCAGCATTCTACCGTGTCGGCATTTGTTAAACCGATTTTAAGGGTCCAGATAAAAAGAAAAACAAAGAGTTGAGTGGAACCAAAATAACCGTGCGAAAGCTCTCGTCAGCAACATTCGAATAAGCCTACCTATGTAGAGCGATGGGTTGTACGCGCACTCCCCAACCCACGCCCTTCAGGACCAAATGCGCGGTATTCATCTCTTCCCGTGATTGGTTGTAACCCGTGGGACTATCGCGGAATTTTTTCGCGCACTCCCCTCGGGGCCAACGAAGCACAAGTCTTCCGTACCGAAGTTAACCCCCCCGCAGTCTGGTCTCAATTTACCATTTTTCTCGAGTTGTCGCTATTCAATAAATGCGGCCGAAGCGCCCGACATCACGGCAGACATACGGTGGGAGACCAAACACCTTTCTGTCGCGTGCCCTCATGTATGTACTGGTCGATGTGACTTGTATGTTGGTCGTTTGACCTTCGACTTTGGGGACACGTGGTCCCCTTTTTATCGCAGCTGTCTCGACAACGTTGCGCGGGATACAGCAGTCTCACATCCGGCATTCTCGTCTCCACGCCACTCTGTTCACAACCACAACAGAAGAAGTACGCAATACCTCATGGAATCCCACCGCCGTTTATGTAATAGTGGGTGCGTGAGTTGAACTCCGTTCCTCGTTTGAATCTGGGCGCCGCCCAGGTGCAAAATTAAGCGGATTTTGTTCAAACCACACCGCCGGATACAACCATTCACGCACGACATCCATTCCCTGGAAGCATCGCGAACGCCCTCTAATTCCCGCCCTATTGTAAACAAAAAATAATTGAACGTTGTGAGTCAGTGAGTTCCGGTCTAGCCGGGCCCTTCGACCACCGCTGTCCCGTCCTGCTTCTGTTTTTCCGGTGTGGTTTGCATCATGGAGATTATCAATGTGCATTCACACCTGTGTGTCCCCGACCTAAAAGAAACCCCACAACATATATACCTACATGTACCATACACCCTACCCCGCCCCACCCACAGCAGTGGTAGTGGACGGCTCGGCGAGGATGGAGGGAGGCGGTTGGGGTGGTTTGGGGGGTGGGGCGGGGGCGCGAAGGAGGCCGAAGTCGAACCCAACCAAGAAGACCGAGGGCCAGCGGGGGGCGGGGAGCCGCTGGTAGATGTGAAGGGGGACGAGACGACGCAACGAGTGGAAGAGAAAACGTTGAAGTTGAAGCCGATCCCGGACGTCCAGGGCGCCGGCGGCGGCTTGGGGGGTTTGAAAGCGCACCCACGGATGCACCCGATAGGCGCGAAGTTGCCGAACGTGCCCATCTCCGAGACGGTCGATCTCGAGGTCCCGCGAGAAGGGTTGCTTTGGCAGCCCACAACGATGTCGCCGCTCAAGTGTGGCGAGGCCGCGGATGCCTCAGCGGACGAGTGCGAGGCCACGATCACGTTCTGCCTAATGAGGATGGCGGAGTACCAGGAGACCCCGTGGAAGTACCCGATGGCCGTGATGCTGCAGAAGAAGAGCGAGTGCAGTAAGGCGGAAAACTTGCGGTCGTTCCGCCTCTCTGATCTTCGGGTGAGGGGATTGCTCTCTCTGCGGGCTGGGTTGAGGTGTTTTAGACTGAGGGGACAACAGACGCTCTCTACTAACCCTTCTATGCATAGTAGTCGTCTTCTAGGCTGTAGAGCTTCGAGTGTTGATGCTAAGGCATCGACCGTCTCGATGTCTATAGCCTCTTTCTTTTCTCGACCCTTCGAAACTCAGGTTGCGCTTTTTCGTCCAGCTTGGATACGTGTTGCGACGGGTGCATGGTACCAAATTTTGCTATCTTTTTTCTCTTGCCGGGTATAGTGTATCACTCCCTCTTCCGCGGGGTCCCTCACTCGGTGGTGCTATTGCCTACCCCCGGACACCCGGCTGGCACAAGTCATCCATCCTGAGAACACGATCCCGCGTTCTTTCTTTCTCTGCCCACCGCAGCTGCGCATACTTCAGTCTTGTGCTCTTTCCAAGACGTGATTCGATGTGAGAAATAATTAATATCCCCAAAACGAACACCCCCCCCGACGATGTTCGTCTGCTTGACCCCCCCCCTCCGTTCTCTCGCGGCATGAAACCCACCATACACAGACCTACATGCGCGAGCACCCTGAAGAGTTCTTGCAGCCCAATGGCTTCGTTTACCACGAGACTCGCACGGGCTCCACCCTGGTGGCCAACATGCTGGCGCACGTGCCGTCGAACCTAGTCGTGAGCGAGAACAACATGGCCGAGGACCCGGTTCGCCGCTGCTCGGACTGCACGGAGATGCAGAAGGTGCGCGTGCAACAGATAGTGTACTCGTATGCCGTACTGTAGTTGTTGGACCATTGACCTCGCATCCCTATCAAGCCGGGACGGAGCACGCCTGGTTTTCACATCGCCAAGCGCGAAGCGCCGTGAGGTGTTCGGGGAGTGGCAACAGGGGTGTCTTTGTGGCTGTCCGCATAGGTCGCTCGCGACGGTGGTGCGCAGCAACGGCCTTGGAGAGGCCCTCTCTTTTTATTTTCCTTTTGCTGGAAGTCGAACCAGCTGGTGTTTGTGTACGGTAGGTCAGATTGGACCGCGACGGATGGCAAGAGTCAGGAGTATGTTGGTTGTCAGCTTCACCATCGAGCAGGGGAAGGAGTGACTGGATGAATCTTAACATACTTCGCGACTTGATTTTCGAGGTTCGACATTCTTTTGTTTATTTTCTATGACAGTCTAAATGTCGCTCCGAAGAAGGAAGGCGGAGAGAACTACTCCCGTGTGGCCTCTCCTGTGCGATCTAGGCTGCTGATGCGTCCAGAATGAACGGGATAACAGAAGAGAACAAGGGGCTTGACGTCCCAACTTTAGGCCATACTTCCCAGAGTGTCATTTCCCCATATGATGGTCGTGTAAGCTCTTGTGTAAAACGTTCCGTGAGACCCTGATGTCCGTATCGCGCGGAGAGTGCGTTGCACGTGTGGCCTTCACTCGCCTACCCCGTATTGACTCTTCCCTAACATCTTAATTGTCCTGCAAAGGTGGCCCTCTTGAGGGAAATCATGACGCTGCTTGGCAACGGGAGGAACGGGCACGAACACCTCTTCTTCAAGTTTCAGGACTCCACCACCCTTCCCTTGGTGAGAAAGGGATACCTCCAGGGGTGTGTGTTGGGGGGGGATGGTACTCCTAGCCGTGCATGCCGTGCATGCCGTAGTCGTTCTAGACCATTAGCAGGGTTTTCACCGGATCAGGCTTACGACATCACCAAGCGCGAAGCGCCGTGAGGTATTCGGCTTTCGCATGGAGGGTGCGCTGCATCCTGCTAAGGGGGGGGAGGGGGGGGGAGGGGGCATCGAGCTTGCGGTTTAGTTGCTCTCGGTTGGGCTGATGACTCGCGCGTCCCTTACGAGGCGGACCACCGTTCTTCTCCCTTGCGGGATACACCGCCGACAACCGGGTGCTTTTGTCACATGCCTGCCCCATGCAGAAGTTTTTATGCTTTGGCTCCCGTTTCTTCGGGTTGTGGGAGTGGGGGCGTTCTTTGGGCACAGCGACATGAATACAGGGAGCGGGGGGTAGTGCTGGCTGTTTTCCTTGTGTGTCTCCCCTCGTTCTCGTGTGTCCCCGTGCGTGGTCTCTCCCGATGGTGTGCGTTTTGTGTGCGGCTGTTGGGAGGGGGAGGGGGCTCACCTCGTAGACGCCGGCGCACCCGACCGAGCGTTGCCTACATCGCATTCCGCCGGCTTGGCGATTCTGTTGATGATGGCCCTTCCTGCCCCCCCCCTCCTGAACCGCTGTAAGGCATGCAGAG